TAATGTGCTGCGCAAGGGTACATAAAGTAACATAGTAATCTATAGCAGAAAATACTGTATATCAGTGAACAACAGTATTTTACAGGACTCCCACTATTTTTAATAAAAATTATTTTTTAATAATTTCCCAAAAATAAAAATTCTTAAATTTGTGCATTCAATGGGATTTACTTTGATGTAAATCTTTTGTGGTTCACAGTCATTTTCATTTTTACCAAGTTCTTACTTTGTAAACCGAATGTTTGTAATTATGTATTAATTATTGAAATTATGTAATTATGTTTGAAAAAAATTAAAAAAAAAATGTCTTAATTAAAAGTTGCAGTGAAAACAAGGCTGTTTAATTTAATAAAAAAGTAATTGAAATGTCAATAAATTTATTGGAATGGCCAGAAGGATTTGTGGTCTCTATATGACGCAAAATTTTTTATTTTTTCTCCATTTTTGGCTACTAATCAAATTCTCTATATTTAAAAATTGATGTTTTGTTAAGAAATTTTAGAGAAATGTTTTATTAGCAATGTAAACTTATTTTTGGTAAATTAATAATAATGAATTCAAATTAAATTTTAATTTTTCATAAAGAATTTATACTAAGAGTTTTGAATTACTTATATTACTGCAAATATTTTGAAATAGGAAAATTTTGCAGAAATTTTTGAATAAATAAAAATTTAGTTTTGTTATTGTGCATGTTTTCTTTATAATTCTAAACAATTTACGTACATATATGTACATTTAATATCCTTGAATTGTATTCTTATACATATGTATTTCGAATATATTTGTTTTTTTGAAAATATAAGCTCCTTCTGTAATCTCTTGAGATGATAATATAATGTTTATCATTATTATTCACTTGATATATTCAAAGACCTTGATCTTGAATTTTTTGTTATTCTATTTTGTTATGTATGTGTTTAAAGATTATTTTTGGAAAAGAAAAGTATAAAGCTACTAGGAATTTTTAATTTTTTAATTTTTATGTTTTTCGAAATTGGTTAAGATTAGCATAAAAGCGTAGATTATCATGTTAAACATTTTATCAATATTAATTTCGAAATTAAATTTAATTTTATTTGAAATTTAAAAAAACTGTAAGGTGTAAGGTCTTTCGATTTCTATTCTAAGAGACGATTTATGCAAAAAATATTTTATGGGTCTTCATAGGTTGAAATATTTTATGATATGTTAATAGTAATTGTCATCGAAAATTTAATGTTAAATTGTCATCGAAAATTTTCCATCGATCGTTCGCTAGTTAGAGAAAAAATTCTATTTCTTCTAATTTTTCTTGGACGAAACCTACGAAAATACTTAAGGATTTATATAAACAAAACTAATAACTGATTAATTACATCATATTTCAATTTTACTAATTATTTATCGAGTATAAAATTATTGATTTAAATTAAATTCATTGGTGTAATTTCACATCAATTTATAAATTTATAATCAGAAGAATATCAAAATGGTTAATACCATAAATTCATAAAAATGAAGATAAAAGATGAAAATATTTTCTTTTAGAAATTAAAGAATTTTATTTGTGAAGAGTGAATTACAATGTTATAAGATATTATTGAAAAATATTTCACAAGGCTGCGGATAGAACATTAAATATCAAGTATAATGGATGATGATGTGATTTCTGTATGCTTTATGTCTTTGTTTAACACAATTTTATCTTAAATATTTTGATAATTTTAAGAAGAAATGGATAGAAGTTGTTTATTGCTTATAAATTCACAGATTGTCATTAAATTAAAAGCGAATCGCACTTGAATTTTTGCTTTCAAAAGTCCGATGTTGTTTTGTTTTTGACTTATTACTAAAAGAGTGTAAAATAAGAATTATTGTACCCGTATGTACATGTCATAATTTATAGCTATTGTTTTATTTTTGAATTAGAATTTGAAAAATTATTTTAATATTATGAATTGTGTATTCTAAATCTATACTTTAAAGAGGAATTTTTTTACAATATTTTCAGAATTTCGGAATACTATTATACTCTAGATTCTAGAATATATGTATATTATATAGGAATCATCCAATTTAAAGTATAAAGTGAAAACATATTAAAACTCGATTCGAAATTGAGTTTTTATAACAATTACTAGAATATTAATTTAGTTCCTTGCTAAATTGTAATCTATGAGATTTACGAATAAATAAATAAATTGAAAGTTTGTTCAATTTATAACTGAAAGTAAACCATACTTTATAAAAATTTTATTAAATAATGAAAGAAAAACAAAATTATGAATGAAATTTTGTTGAATTCTTTCTGATAAGAAGTGAAAACATTTTGTACTTAATCAAAGTGGGAGATAATTAGAATAAATTATTTATATGCAAATTATTTTAATAAAAAACGCATATATGGTATAAAATAATTAAATATGCAAATAAAATATGTATATACGCGAATAACACAGGAATAAATTAGATGCCAGAAGCGAAAGAGTTTAAGATGCAAAACAAAATTCAAATTAATTTACATTAAAAACGAGTGAATTTCGAGCCATTCTTAACATACTTTACACATATGCAGCTTATAAAAAAGTATTTTAAATTTATCGATTATCTTGAAATCTACGAAAACACATTTTTTAAGTAAACACATTTTTATCGCAGGTGTGATATATGTGAATTATAGCATTAATATTTTGTGTACAAATTCATAAATGTTAATTATATAACAAAAAAATTCTTATTGTACGAAATAAAATATTTTTGATACGCATTAACAATGTATGTATATTTACATATATATTTATACATAAACGAAATTTATAATACATTCCATATATTAAAAGGATAATGAAAATAAAGAAAAATTAAATAAATAAACTAATGTAGTTATAGTATAAGAGTTAATTAAATTGCCTTTCCTTTCAATTATTTTATTAATTAATATCCAATCAAATTAGTATAAATTATATATGAGCACATAGTGACACATGTAAAAACTTTGTAACTACCAGCAAAGTATTTTTAAGATAAATTAACGCGAAACAAATCTCTTGAAGAAATGGAATTAAACATGAAGCAAACATCGATTGTTTCATTACTATGAAATGAATTGAAGTTTATCAACCACAAACGTTATAGATAATCGGTAAATGCAAGTAGACCGACTTGCATAACAAACTTGAATGAGCAATTAGCATTACCAACATGCATAAACAACAATTTACAGGTTATTACTACTCGTATATATAGCAATCAGTATGACTAGAATACATAACCAATTGGCCTGACCAACATGCTTGATCAGCTTACATGACCAACTTGTATGATCAACATGCATTAACAACTTGCATGAGCTATCGGCAAGACTAGCATGCATGACCAAATTGTACGATTATAACTTGCATTCATGTTTGTGATGAACACCTTGCATGAGATATTGGCATGACCAACATGCATAACTTGTACTAACATTTCAGTATACACGATAAATTTGCACGAGTAATTGGCCTGACTAATATGTTAATTAATTTGCATGACTGATTAATTTGCATGATTGACTAATACGTATGCATTTCCAACTAACCAATTCGTATGAGTATTATTCAACAGTATTAATCAACATGAACGACCAAGGTGTATGATCCGGCACTTTTTTATTCAGCTTTTACCAGTTTGATCGAATTAGTAGTGCTGGAGCAATGGGTATGATCAAAGGGCATGTATTAGTTTATGAATAATACATTTATTTAGAAGAAATACAACATGCGTTTTCCTGAATCTTTTTTTGGGTATTCGGGTCTAAAAGAGCTACTAGAATAAAGCAGTAGATTTCGCCAAGACCATTCCCCGTATGATAACATTATGTCAAGCTGAAATTTTAGTACAACAGGGTTTAAAAGCAAAAATTATTTCACTAAAATTTCCGAATCCGAAAGTTTTCCAATTTTTTTTTTAGAAACTATCCGGAAATTTCTTTAAACAATTTCTCAAATTTTCAAGTTGAACGTATTGAAGTTTCATATGAGAGTGCATAATAACAGACAGAAAGATATCCATTTCTTTTTAAAAACATGTAGAGAAAGATAGAAGAAGATAGGTAGATAAAATTTTATTCTTATGTGATTAATAAGAGATTAATTTTTAAAAATCTATTAATATGCTTATCCTGAAACTATGCAATATAACCACCGTAATTTTCTTATTAATTACATACTTTTTATTTTGATAATTTAATTTTGAATTCTCATACTCAACTAATAATATTTTGGTCTGTTGATTATATTTTATTTTAAAAATTTCTAATATTTAATAATAATTGTCTGGTTTTTTATTATAAAAATAGAATTATTCTGTTATTGATTTATTAGATTTTATGTGAAAAATTTAACCGCAGGTTTATTTTTAAATTGTTAAAGAATCATAAATTTTTTCAAAATTTTTATGAATATTTTAATTCGTTTTGGTTTTAATTTATATTAGTGTATCCTTTTGCTATGACGTAGGTATATAATAAAAATACCTAATACATTAAAATATATTTAATTGCGTACATAATAATTTTATCCTCGTTAAAAAAATAAAAAAATGTCCTTTTATAAATAAATTAAAAATTTATTTATTTTTTTTTCATTATAGGTTTATCGGTTTGAGAATTATAAATACCATAAAAAAAGGACCAAGGTATAAGTCTATTAAGTATTAAATGTACAAAAAACAAAAAAAAATTTTGTTAATACTTAAAGAAAAAGGGACATATCACGCAGTTAATAAAATTGTGAAAACAAATTCTTTAAACTTAATTTATTAATAGACGAAAAAAAAACAATAAAAATTAAATACAAAATAAATAATAAAAAAGTAGAAAGTGATAGAAAGAGAAAGAAATAGTTCATGTTTTCTTTCAGTAACAAATGACTCTTAAAATATACTGCTATTTTTGTTAAAGCAAATAGTCCTGTTGAATTTAAAGTATATATATGTATGATTGTACGAGTATATAGATAGGTTATATACTTAAAATTTAATTTTTTTAATGGCGTATTTTACAAAATTAAGTTTTTTGTTTGTTGGTGTTGCTTTATTTTTCAAGCAAGTTAATTAAATTCTGATTGTGTTCTTTTTTTAAACTATATACAAATTTTATAAAATCAAAATCAGCTGGTGTGCTTCGTATAACATAAGATAAATTGTAAAATACATACTATATGCAAATCTTTTCGGATAATGATACCAGAGGTGAGTGAAATTTAAAATAATTTTTGTATATTATAATAATATTGTAATACAGTTATTTTTGTTTAGTGAGTATATGGTAAAAATTGAGGGAATTCGGAAACCTGCTGTTCAGTAAATAACACTAAAGTTATTTGTTATTTGTACTAATGCTGTAGGCGTTTGAACTTTAATTATCTGTAGTCAGTCCATCAAGTTTGCAATAATATTACATTTATGATAATGTGAAAATCGAACGCTATTCAAGATTTAAAATTATTACAAATATATTGTGAAGCTAGACTGCTAATGCTATAATTTTCTATTAGACAATTAAGAATTATAAATGTTAGGTGGTAAAAATCAAACACTTATAAAATATCGAATTAGTCCTTGAGTCGAAAATGTATTGATGTTGAATTTTTTATACAATGAAAAAATTCTCTAATTACAATTATTTAATAGAAATAATTAAAGAATTGTAAGAGCAGTGGTTTAGTTGAATTGTAAATGGCAGTGGAAACATAAAATTTTCGATAGCTTTTAAGATAAAATTGTGATTTGGAGAGTTGTTGTGTTCGATACTGAGTTAGATTTAGTTGAATTTGTGTTTAGATATGTAATTTACGAAATGTTGATTATACGTCATAGACATTATAAACTTTTCAATATATTTTGCTTAAAATTTATAACATAAAGCTAATTTTATACAAAAAACTTTTATGACAAGAATTGTAATACTATATTTTAATTATATTTCAAATTGAAGCAAGAAATAAAGCTAACATGAATTTTTTACTGTAATTAAATTTCCAATTTCCTTATTTCTTGCTGTGTATTAGAAAGTATTATATTCTTAAATGGTATATACATATTGTATAACAATTAACAACATATTGTGTTTCTATATATACAAATTTAAATAATTACAAAAATTTTTTGATATTTAATAAGAGCTTTTAAGTAAATTCTTTAATAATTTACAATAGAAGAAAAAGAAAATTTAATGAATGTTTTATTTTTCCAAAAAAGATTAATGGCTACAAAATATTTTGGTATAAGATTTCTTATAGAGATTTTTATTGGTTTTTCTTTCTGGAAGATATTCTTTAGTTTTACTTTACTAAAAATCATCATGTTTCCTTTGTTTTTTGTAAAGGGTTATATTTGTAATTATTTATAAAATTTATATTGTTTATTAAATATAGGTTTGGCTATTTAGTTTTAAAATTTCATAGAATATAATATTTGCTTTACTTATTAATTGGTGTAGTTTTCAGAACTTTATGTGATACTGAATTCAATTTGAGTTTATACTCGTACATATATTATGTCTGTTCCGTCATGTATATTGTATATACTGAATATTTTACCTACAAATTTCACTATAGTTTAGAAATAATATCGTTATGTGTGTGCCAAAATAATGAATGTGCTCTTTTTTTAAGTTGTGAGTTCAGGATACCAAATTATTTATTATTAAAAAAATTTTAAAAATTGTTAGTTTAGAACGTGTGAAATAATGGTTTTGTAGTAGAAAAAGTCTTTTATGGTTAATATTCTTTAAGAAAAAGAGAATATTTTGGTATTCTCAACTCAAATTTACCTGACCATTGATGCAGTGGTTATGGCACCGGCCCTTTAAACGAAGGGTCTCGGGTTCAAACCCCGGTCAGGTCACTATGAAAATTATATTCAATATTATATAACTTAATATGCAAATACTAATAAAATATTATACAAGTAATTTTCAAATGTTCATAATATTCGATACTAAAGACTAAGAAAAATAAACAGTAAATATTAATAAACTGAAATATTTAATATAAATAAAAACTACGGTAGACTAGTCACCTACCTAGCTAACTCTCTATGACTATAGAAACTAGAGCATCATAGATATCATGCACTAGCCCTATACTCCTCCTAGGAGTGAAGAAGGAAAAAAAAAAAAAAAAAAAACTCAAATTTACAAATAAGCACATTCATTGGCTTAACACACAAGTGACGATATGGCACTTTCTGAAATTGAAAATTATTGTATTGCTTACATTGATTGCAATGATAGTTTCCTTTATGACACCACTCAAAAATTTGAATATAATTCGGACTTAAAATCCTCAACCTCGTATGGAAGATATTATTTATATTAAATTTTTAAATTAAATTTTCCATTTGTGTCATATGAGATATAAAACTTTTAAAATTAACAGATTAAGTTTGTTATTTTTAGCACTTTTCCAAAAAATTTTTTGAAAAAAGTGCTTATTAGTTTCACTCTGTCCGTCCGTCCGTCCGTCCGTCCGTCCGTCCGTCCGTCCGTCCGTGGACACTTTTTTTGTTTACAAAACTTCTACACCCTTGAAGATAGAAAGCTGAAATTTTATATGTACATAGATCTTTACTAGAAACTTACTTCCGTAGAACAAAATTTTTACCTATCTCCCCCCCTCTAGAAGTTATACCCCCCCAAAACCTTAAAAATGGCCTTTTTTAACTATTTGTTGCAATGAAACCATAAGCATTTTTGAAATTTTGCAAAAGCAGAAAGGCAGCGGCTTGCTTCCCTAACGCGGTATACTACAGTTAAACTTTAGAAAAACAAAATGGCCGCTCAAATTTACCGTTATCTAAAGTCCTTTTTTTCCAAATTTTTGATGTCGTTTTTCTTCTAGATCCCAGCCTGTAGAAGCTTGAAATTTTAGAGACTTTTAGATATTAACAAATAGTTCATTTTGTTGGAAGAAAATTTTTTTCCATCTCCACCCCCTCTCAAGTTATCGCCCCTTGAAATTTGTAAAATTTGAATTTTTGACACCTTATATTTCCGAAATCGCACGTTTTTTCAAATTTCTATAAACGCAAAAATTTAACGGTAAATTCCATGACATTAAAAAATATAACTATTTTCCTTAACTCATACAATTAATCCTTAAAATCAAGCATTATGTTAACCCCTTTTTATATTAATTTTTGCTTTATTTCAAAGACTGCATAAATCGTTCATCCTAAAAATATGCAATCCTAGAAAGAGTTTTGTATATGAATGAAAATAATTTTAATAGTGTGATAGGTATACATAGACTGTATTTAAAAGCAGAATTTTCACTTGTTGAAGGGAAAAGTGCTACAATACAAACCATTGGTTTGACCCAACTTTATTTTTTCTTAAAAACTCTACGCATATACTTGAAAATTACGTAGAATCTATATTGTTCTTACAGATTTAAATTTCGTCTATTGACCAATACTTATGCATAACAATATTTTTATCAAGATTTTTAGGACAAAGAGCACACAGCCCTTTTTTTTTTTAAAATTTCAGGATAAGAGGCTGTGTACTCAATACATACCCGTTGACTAAATAAGTGATACGGTATTTATATACAATTCAAACTTATGAGTTATATTGTGTAATTATCAAGGATAATATTATACAATATAGCTCCTTTTTTGTTAACAATATTGCTCAATATTTAGGGGAAGCTATGACATTTTCACAATACTCATAGCTTCCTCCAAAATTTATCTGTCCGAACTTCTAACAGTTTTTACATACAATTAAAGTAATTAATAAAATATTACTACTTTAAATTTTATAATATTTTTGTTTTGAGGTTAAATAAGAAAAGAATAAAATTTTAGATTTTTTTTTTGTAAATTAAAAACCTGAAGAACATTCGAGCAAACCGTTCTGATCTAAATTAAATTCCAACATTTTGTATTTTTTTTTATTTTTGTTTTTTGTTGTCGTTCATTTCCTTTTTGAAAACTTGAATAGAATATAAAGGTGATGAAGAGTTTAATTCCTTTAAGGAATACAAAAGTAAATTCTCAGAATTCTACAAAATTAAATTCTTATAGAATTTTCAATGTCCTTAAATGGAAGAAAAAAGTTTTTTATTAGAGGAAAATTTGAAATTTAAAATTTAGTTTTTTGTTATTCTTTTTATAGCGAGTGTTTTTTTTTTGTTTACATTATTTTTATTTTTCCGTTGATAAATGTTGGCAGCTAGGACTTTAAGGAAGTTGTGCAAAATGAGATATCCTTTAAAAATGATTAAATGATAATATTTTTTTATCATAAAAATTTTAGAAAATAAATTCTTTGACCATTTGGGACTGTTTATTTCTTATTTAATAAGAAGATTTCAAAGAAAACAGTGTTTAAAATTTCTTAACAGATGTTTTTGAAATAAATTTTTATTTTTTTTTAATTCCATAATTAAACACAGATTTTAAATATATTTTGTTTTTTGAACAATGAAACCTAATGTAGAGTGATAATAATTTTGAAAATTTTTTTATTGTTTTTATTCTCAACGAAGTGTGCAAATTAAATCAACCAATTTTCTGCCAGTGTTATGAGAATATCTTAAAGTTGATATTGATCTAGAGATTTTGTTGAAAAAATGTGAATATGAATACAATAAAAATTGTGTTGTCTTGGCGCCCGATTTGGTTTTAATGAACCGTCAAAATATTTAAATTAAAATTTCAAAAGCTTTCATCTTTATTAGTTTCCATTTTATTTGAACAACTATTTTAATTGACTTTTAATTAAAAATATTTAAAAAATATGAAATTTAATAACTTTAACAATTCATTAATAAAATTCAAATAGTAATAATAACAATTAGTATTGTGTTTGTACTTATCAAATTTGTAATTATTTAACTGAATAAGGCCAGAAAACTTTTATTTTTATAAATTGATAAAAGGAAAAATCTATCAGCATATAAGCAACGTTATTGAATATTTTCAGGTATAAGTTCTTTATATGCTAAAACCTTTTAAGGTCTGATTCGTTAAAACCCCTGGAACTCGGAAACCCTTGGAGATATGGCACCCAGTCTGGAACAAAAGTGTTATCTATTTTTGATCTTCTAACCAATGGTATATGTTGTTGTATAGCTTTCTGAATTACCCTGTATATGGCCCGTAATAGAAGCTCTGTTTTTTTGAAAAGCTATAATTGGCTCGTCGTATTGTTGGTTGAAAGTTAATATATAAAATTTCATGAAACACTCTTTAAAGATGATCAAAAAAGCAAAATCTGCGTGTCAAAGTAGATATCTCTCCAAAAATATTTGATTTGTTATTTTCTATTATGAAGTAGTCGCATTTCTGTTGAAAACCCAATTAAATTTGGTGCTATTACATAACCTTTCTTACCTCAAACGATGGGTAATGCGATAGAATACGATCTTAATGCGACCGATCGTATAAAATTATATACACTGATCAAATTTTGGTGTAAGTCAGGTTTCTACAACTTGATTTTTATATTACGGACCGAGTTTGAGATTTAGTTAAACCTTTAGTTAAACAACAACACAAACTAACAAACTTTTAAAAAACAACTATCATTCAAAGAAAAGGAACTTCTCATAAGACTAAAATTTAAATTTTTGGTAGTACATTAGGTAGAAGATTACTAGTTTAAGTAATTAAAATTCGTAATGAGATTTAAAGATCGTTTGTGAATCGTGTACAAATCTTTCATAAAACTAATAACAATAGCTTAATAAGGATTATTCAGAGAGTATGTACAAAAATTATAAGCAAAATAAAAATTTGTTTAATGAATTCGAAGTAAAAAAGAGAAGCATAGAAGGTGGCGTGGCTTTAGTCGTCAAATAAAAGAGCATTAAAGGTGTTCTGATAAAAGAAGTAGTAATCAATATTAAGAATACAAGTGTTTCGACTTTTGAGCTTTAAATAATATTCATACTGAAACGTATTTTATCATAATTAGATTGCTACTTTAAGTTTACTCGAGCATGAGATGCCAAAGTAATTTTATTGTAAAGACACTTGAAATTTTTTAACTAATATTTTATTGCGCGAAATTGTTGAAAAAATCGATTCCAAAAGTTTCCATTTTATTATTATTTAAGAAAAATTCATAAAATATTCTAACACTTTAATCTAAAAATATTGAAAGTTTTAATAAGGATCACTTGAATAATCTTAAATAGGGGGGAAAAAAATCTCAATGTTATAAAATGAATTTTATAATTCAAATTCAAAATAAAGTTTACAGAAAAAATAATGAAAGTAAATATGTACGAAGCAAAGAAAGCAAATTATTCAGATTTCTATAAATTCATGCTATTTCATTAATTCATTTTATAGCCAAGTGAAGCCTAAATAATGAATGGAATTTGATTTAAAAGTAAATTAAAAGTTGTCCCACATTTTGTTTTATGTAAAAATAGAGAAAGATTTTTTACTACGTTTTTATTTTTCTATAAAGAAAGCGAACAATAATTATTGGGTTGTTCTATGAAATCTTAGAGTGCAAAGATAACTACGTAAGATTAGAAAATAGAATTTTAATGAACAATTTATTAATGGCAGAAGTGTAAATACGTTGTCAAGGTTGTTTAATTTTATTTATATTAAATTCTATTAAATTACGATTTGAGTAAACCATTTGTTACGGCCCAGCTTCATATGCTTGTGATTTAATGAAGTCTAAAGAAAGAACCGCGGAAGACCCGATTTTGATATAATAATCTTGTTGTCATTAATTTAAAATAAAATTTATAATACCATTCATATTAATTTTTGTAAAAACATAAAAAAATTACAAATGTAAATAATATTTACGTTAATATAAAATGACTGCCATTTTTAATCTTCTTCTTAATTTCATTCTAATGATTTTTCTTTCGAAAATTTAAATGAAAAATTCTCAAAAATTGAAATGTTGAAATCTGAAGGAAAACAAATAAGCAAATCAGTAATTTTTTTTTTAAATTTTCTAGATTCCAGTTGATTTCCTCAACAGAAAATACAAAAGAAGAGAAAAATTCAAATAAAGGTATTGTGAGTACTTGAATATTTTGTTATTTTTCTTGTAAAATTTTAAATTTTTTTGTATTAAATAAAACGAAATTAGCGTGTAATAAAGAACATGGCATGTTCTATTAAGTTTCTCAATGTGACACTTATGGTATAGGGAGCAGAAAATTAAATCGAGTCCTTTTAAATTAAAATATCCGTCAAAACGGTTGATTGAACTAAAAACTTTTATAGGCATAGAAATGAGAAAAATTTCTTTTTTTTTTTTTTTAAATAAATTTGAAAAAAAAAGTTTGAATTATTATTGAAATGAATATTTACAATAAGGGTTTTAGTAAGCAAAAATATTAATTTGAATTCAAAAGTAGAAATTTATTTCTCCACGTAAAATTGCCCACGCTATAAACGATTCTCAATACGTTTCAGATGGTCGTTAAGCAATTGATTTTTCAAAAGAAAATAATCAAAAAGCATTTAATAGCAGAATTTGCTTGGTACTGCTGATCACATAGATTAAATCCAACTTTTGCATTTTAGAATGCAAAAAGCTTAATATTATCGACTGCAATCGGCTGGCGCATATGACAACATTGCGACGAATACTATCTTTAAAGATAAAATTAATACCATTTAAAGAAGTACCTCCTGGTGATGTACCGTTTTCTAATAAACAACAATAAACAGCATATTTATTTTTGGGCAGTATGTATAATATTTTTAACCAAAAAGCAGCTGAAAACAATTTTTGGGTAGAACAACGCATAGAAGGTGGGATTCTCGGCTGTTCTTAGAAAAATTTGATGCTGTGGCTGATTTAATTTTATTTTATTTTTCCAATTAATATTCTACAATAAAAATAAAGCAAGTAAATAATTCTCTTGAAATTCTTATAGTAAATGATTAAAATTTCATGGTCATAACAAGTTTAAGGATTGTTTAAATAAGTAAACTAGGAATTAATTTTAGCAAGGGAAATTAAAATATTATGGGCCCATTCCAAGTGCACAATATATTTGAATTTTATTTTAATAAATTATAATATATATGTATATATTTTTATGTGTGTCAAAATAAATTAATTGTCCATGTATGGTATGTTCATAAGGGGTTTTTTTTGGAAAATTTAATTAAATTTATTTAATTAGTTCTTTAATTTAAAAACCAATTTATTTAATTAAACCAAATAAAACTTTTATAAATTATTTACACTATTAATTTTAGAAAAAAAGTTTTTGTTGTACTTATGTGTGTAGAAGAGCTTAATAAAAATTATATTGTTCTAAAACCTAGATAAGAGAAATATTGTTATTTTTTGTAGAATAGTTACGCAAGTATTGTGGGAAATTATTTATGTGAAGGAAATTAACTAATATTTATAACTCTGATGATTCTACATAATATTGTTTAAATACATAACGTTCAAAAATGTGAAGCTATTTACAATTAAGTAAAATGCGAATATATTTCTATAAAGATATTTCAATCGGAGATCGGAATACTTCGGAATATAATATTAAACGTTGTTTTTGGAAATTTTGGTACTTTGGTATACCGCTGAATCTACATAAAGTAGATATATAATCTAAGTAAACTGCAATGAAATAATCTACCATAAAACTGGAATTCACTGTTTAGAAAAATCCTGTTAAAATTTCTAAAAGTCTTTAAAACCTAACGGCTCGAAGGTCATAACAAATTGTAAGGCTTTCTGTTACTGAAAAAGTTAAAAATTTTTGGTTCCCGTTTAGAAGAAAATACTGTTCTATATTTACTGCATACCGATTTCATGATATGTGATAAATTTTAGTAGGTCAAAGAATAAATGCATTAGACAGCTACTCGTGATAACAGCCTTAAAGTCCAGAAATAAAAAGCGCCTTTCAATTAAAACTTTTGAGAAATTAATACCAATGTTTGATTTAAATTTGTAAAAATTAAATTCTATTATCTATGGTTGTTTAACTATGTTATATTAGTAACAGTTTAAGTAAGAGTTTCCGAAAACTCAGCGGAATGAAATCGAATTTCTGGTTTGTATATTCCATGTGATTTTTAAAGGTTCAAATTTGGTAATTGTCAAAAATAAAACTTTAAACAAAAACTCCTATTACTAAAAGTTTCATCATAAAATAAAATTAAAATTAAAATCAGAAAAAATAGAATTGACCGTGACAACTCTCTGATACCCGTACGAATTGTTATTCTATGTGCGAATAAAAACGTCATAGCTGACTATGGGACAGACTATGGGACTTTAAGCTGCCATATTGCCGTATTAATTTATGCAAAATTTCAGTACTGTGTTTTCCACAGTACTGTGTGTGCCCAACTACTATTGAAGTTGTATGGCAGCTACCAGAAAGAGCAAGAAATATTAACGAATTTTATTAAGCACATCGCCCCTACTAATAAATTTTCTTGTGTGAAATTTCAATATTACAGCTTTTGTAGTGATATAATCAAATAAATTTTAAAGTTGCATGGCAGCTACCCGAACCAGTACTCCGATTATATCAAATTTAAATAGGGTTCTGGCACTTACTATAAAACATCATTTATGAAAATTTGATGAACTTAGTTCAATTAGTTTTTGAGCTATTGTTGGGGCGGACGGACGGACGGACAGACTATGTCTAGGTCTAAATGAACTCAGAATTCGACGCTGATCAAAAACATACACGTAAGACTATGTCTCAGAGCATTATTTCTTAGCGTTACAAACGGTAAGGCAAATTTAGTATACCCTTCGCACATACGTTGGTACGGGTATAATGAGAATTTAAGAATTTTAATATTAACGTTGGAATTTGTTAGTCTAGTAATTCGGTGTACATATGTTTAATATTTATTCACGTATAAATGATATATATACATAAAATATATGTACGTATACGCACATGTAGGTATTGTTATGCTTACATACAAATTTAAAATAAAGTTTTAATAAAAACTATTGTTCTATTCAAGTTTGTCAAAACTTAGTACATATTTGGAAAAAGGACAAATAAAAATTGTTTACACACACGTTTACAAAATCTAGCAAGGATGTTTATACATTTGTTTAAAAAGTATGCTTAATATCCTCGTATTTTTACAACAATTTCTAATTTAATTTTAAAATATCCTAAATTTTTATGTTTTCTTATTTGTAAAAGAGATGAGGTCTTGTGATTTAATAATATTTTAGAATTTAAATTTACAAATTTTTGTTGAGGGATGAAAAAAAATTCTTTTTTTTTTGCATATTTGGATCAACATTTATATTTATACGAATAAGTTGCATCTTGAGAATAATACCGCAACATCTCTAAATTTATACTTTCGAGTAAATTAAACTTTGAGTTTAAAGTTATTTTGAATTATTGTGGTTTAAATATCAATTTCTTTTCATAAAATTGGTATAAATCGAAATATTGCTGCAACTTATTTTAAAAAACCTTGTAATTTTTCAATATTTCTCGGTATTTAATTAAAGTATTTTTTGAGTTAGGGTGATATTGCAAAATATCGCGGTAAAGAATTTAATTTTAAGTTAAATATTTAATTTTCTGAATTCAGTTCCCAAAAGAAGAATTCAGAAAATTTTATAATAAGCGCGGTCATTTTTGATATAGAATTACGTGATTTGGTGCAAAATATAGAGAAAAATCTTGCGCTTTTAACTACATGCCTATTTAAAAAATTAACACTTTTGAGATGTTTCCGTTACTCTTGCATATTTTAATACTTTATATGTGACTATGTACCGAAGGTTCTAGTGACTTTTTATTTAAATTTTTTTACATCTATTCAATAAAAGTACGTTCATGTTAACACACATGTGCTTATAATTTATTATATAATATCATACCTTCTAATACAGTGTTTAAATTTTCATATTTAAATATTTAGGCCGGCATTATTAAAAATTCCAAAAACTAAAAATAAGTTTCCGAAACAACATTTAAACAATTCTTTTTATGTAATAAATTACTTGATTTTATTAAATACTTTAAATATTTAAATAAAAAAAATTTAGAAAATTTTTTGGAAACTATAAATTTAATTAAGTCATATTGCGTTTATTATATAATTAAATTATTTGCTATATGCTTAGTGTTACTGAAAGGATTACAGGATTAAATATTAAGAAAATAAACCGCATGTACCACACTTATGTGACTAAAATATGTGCATAAAGTTTTGGCTTTAATTTTAATAAATAACTTTTCTTTATTGCTCACAATATATTAAAGCATTGCGGTGGCAAATTATCATAACATTACGTTATTATTTGCTATTGCTTATTTGAACATAATTTTAAAAATAAAGCCATTTAAACCCACAGTATGTGATGCAGTAAAATAATTGAAATAAATAAGCATAAAAATTGGAAATTTGGATAAAATTGGTGTTGAGGTGGAAGAACTTTTTTTTTGCTTACTGAATACAGTAGTACAAACTGTTTATGATTTCGAAGCAATATACAAGTTTTAAATTAATGAAAATTAAAGGGAAAATAATAAATTCGGATCAAACGAAATGGTTTGTAAATTTGTACTTTTCTCTTGAACAATGGACAATTATTTACTAGCTATAATTTACTAGTTTATTAGTTTTTAATAAAAAACAATAAATTAATATTCTTTATTAAACTATTTAAATTATTTTCATTAATATACCAAAAATTTTCATTAATATATAAAATCGTTGCATACATCTAGGATGAGAAAAAAAAAATTAAAGTAGCGTTTAGATAATAGTCGAGTTTTTAAGGTGATGTAAGTGATTTAGAACAATAATACGTAATTATATTTTGTGATGTTATGGAATTTGTTGTTAGATTTTTGATCTTATAGAAATTTGAGAAAGCTAGTGAAATAGAAATTTGAGAATAAAGGTGGAAAAAAATTTTCTTTTAATGAAATAAATTTTTTATAATATAAAAACTGTTGGTTCCAACGTCCATAACATTTTTTGTTTTTATTAAACTTTTTCTAAATTTTGAGTTTGGAAATAATAGATCTAACTCAATTTACG